AATGGCCATTCGGCTCAGCGGCGACTTAGCTACAATAACCAAAAACTGGCTCTTTTAATATAGGTAGATATTCTTTTTTTCGCCATTTTCTTCTTTCTTTTGGAATCGATGATTTTTGCGAAAACATTTCCACTTCTTAATAAGAAGAACTAGATCATCAAGTTCTTCATCATTCATATTTTCGCTTGAAGTGCCTCCATCAACTATAGATTTAAAAGCAACTTGGCGTCTTTCTTCTTCTTTGCTTTTCAACGTTTTCTCCTTTATCTCGGTGTTATTTAACTCATATGTCATCAATGTTTCATAGAGCTCTTCCAATGGATATGTGTTGATATCTTTGGTATTTTCTATCAACATTCTCAATGAGTTTCATTCTTCCGAGAGTGACCTAAGTATTTTACTTACAAGCTCACCATTAGTAAATTTACGATCAAAATCTTTGAAACTATTAACAATATCGGTGAAGCGAGTAATATGTCAACAATATGTTCATTTTCTTTCATGATTTTTTTTTTTAAAAATCTTTAACTAAGAGATTTATCTTAATTTCTTTCACTTTACTAGTTCCAATATGAGTAATTTCTAAAGCATGCCAAATATCATAAGCCGAATCACATATACTAATACGATTAAATTCATTTCTATCTAAAGCACAATAAAATATATTTTTGTCTCTAGAAGTTAAAGATAATTTTTGTTTATCTACTTCATTATCTTCTTATAGGATTAGAAATAATTAGATCCNGCACAATAAAATATATTTTTGGCTCTAGCATTTAAAAACAATTTTCTTTTACCATCTTCATTATATTCCTCTCTAAGTTTAGCAATTATTTGATCCGGTTTACCATTTTCTTTAATAACCTTTTCAGGCACATATGAACCAAATTCAATAACTTCCCAAATATTATAATCTATTAACTGAATAAATATTGTCATTCTAGCTTTCCAATAGTTATAATGAGTACCATCAAATAAATGATGACGATTGTAGAATACCCCTCTAGATTATGAAAAATGTGGTTAGCAATGATACTCAAGATTGTGAAATTTTTAAAATTGAGCACCCTGCTCTGATACCAATTGAAAGTCCAAGAATAACTAATCAAGAAGGGAGGGACGAGTGAATTGGTTTTTAAAACTTTT